CCACAGGCCGATAGCTTCCATGCCACACCGCATTGAGGCAGTATTTGCTGCTAAAGGGGCCCAAACCAAGTACTGAGTACATATGCACGCTTATACTTTTCAGAGGTCCGATATATTGTTCTATGTACAAACCTTGTTTTATTGATTGCATGTAATAATCTAATTTTCTGAGATTGTGGCTTTGGGGTATTCATGAGCTGTAAGCCATAATCATCACAATTATGACAAATCACAGCTTGAACTATCTTGCTTTGCATGTAATGAGTCTATCTCATATATTAGTTTCACCTTTTTAAGTTGCATTAGTGAAATAAATTAACTTTTGCACTATATTCTAATTATTTGAGTTTCACCTGTAGATGGAGCTCCGTCACAGCACAGCAGTCAACACTGGACCCTAGGCTGAGGATCCACTCCAGTTCTCGAAAATTAGGAAGACTAAGTGCAGCTTAACATACATTTTTTTGGAGTTGTATGTTTGTGAGATTGTGTCTGTTTGTGTGTCTATCAGTATTTTTGAGTATTGCACAGTCTCGGGCGATTATTGCACTGCACCATGCAAACGCATCCACTGTGCGTTTTGGGGCGGGAGGTGCGTTGCGCTGCAATTCATTTGAATGATACCCCAAATGAATCTCCCACCCACAGTTCGATCGCCTGCACCAGAACGCGTAGTACCACAATGCCGTGCGTTCCATTGCCGTGCAACTTGGGTCACGACTTAATGACCAAGGACAGATGTGGGTCCCGAAGTTACACAGGTTGAGAACCACTGGTTTAGAGGGTATATTAGAACATATATGGTGGTCATGCCCAATTATTCAGGGATACTGGCAGAAGGTAACTGATTATATTTATGTTATAACTGATCAAAGGATTCCTCTTGAACTGTGGACCTGTTTGTTCCATTGTAATGACTGCCCAGCAGGAAAATATAGTAGATCTCTTTTGTCATTTCTGTTGAATGCAGCGAGGCAAATATTTCTAGATCTTGGAGATGCATGGCAGAACCAGGTATTCAATCATGGTTCCAAATAATTGACCATTGAAGTGAAATGGAGGAGCTTACAGCTGCTCTTAAAAAAACTCTCACATTTCACACCTTGGTATTTGGGCCAATTGCAGTAAATTTAAAAACTCTCAGAGGTACGTGGAAGTGATGTCTGGGAGCTAAATTGGTGGAAACTACATAAATAAGCTACGGGTTTGCTACTAGGGAGAGAAAATGAAAATTGGGAGTAGTTTGGAGTTGGGTGTAATAGAAGAAATATCTGAGTATTTCTTCGACGCAATAGGAAATTGAATCCTGGATATACAGTAGTATTCGGTTGTAGGCATCTCAGTCGGTATACTGAGCATAGGGTAACGGGAGGACGCTTGTTTGTGTCCTCCCGTTACCCAAAGGAGAACTATGGGGAAAAACACTGACACCATAGTTCTCCTTTTAATACATATATAAACCCCAAATGTGGATATGTTGTATAATAGTAATAATGCAGTGGTCTTTCCAACTGAGTATTTGACACTAGGTTTGGGATGATGATTATAATAATGATTGGTGGGTTACAAATTTTTTTTGGTACTTCACACTATGATATAGATTATATAGTAGATGTAATTGTACATATAATCCCCATATGGGGACTTCACACTTAATAAATTATGGCAGGGCTCAAACTTTCCACTCGCCTGCTCGCATTTGGTGAGTAGAAAAGCAGTGCAGGTGAGTGGAAATTCCTGTCAGGCTTGCGGTCTCAGACCGCGTACCTTAGGGTTAGGGTTCTGCTCCTGCTGGTCTGTCTCCCTTCCTTTTCGGCTGGAGCTCTTCACTGAGCTCCGGGTCGAAAACGAACTGATTAGTAAGGTGTGCAAACCTTACTAATTACACTAGATCACCAGGGATCTGCCTGCTCGCCTCCTCCCTGCAGAAAGACAAGCAGGTGAGGGGGCTTCCTTGTACTATTTTACATTGTGGGGTCGGAACAGGGGAGATTGTGTGGGGGTCAGGGAACAGGGGGGATTATTATGTTGTGTGGGGGGCAGGGAACAGGGGGG